GGCAAGGCAGGGCAGGGCAAGGCAAGGCAGGGCAGGGCAAGGCAGGGCAAGGCAAGGCAGGGCAATGCAAGGTAGGGAAGGGCAGGGCAAGGCAAGGAAGGGCAGGGCAGGGCAGGGCAAAGCAAGGCAGGGCAAGGCAAGGCAGGGCAAGGCAAGGCAAGGCAAGGCAGGGCAGGGCAAGGCAGGGAAGGGCAAGGCAGGGCAGGGAAGGGCAGGGCAGGGCAAGGCAAGGCAAGGTAAGGCACCTACAATGATTGTCTAGTCCAACTGCCCAGACTGAACTTAATCAAGCCCTGTGATTTCAGTTGTCATTAGACACAGACATGTCTCCTTTTATAAACCCCATGTGAAAAGAGCAAAATTAATAAAAATCAACATAGAACTGGACACCTGTGTACATGAAACAAGCTTTCAGAACAATGTTCTTTTATGTATGCTTTTAGTAGTCAGCATGCATACAAAGGAAAATACCCGTCTCACACTTCTGTAGCAGAAGAGGTAGAGTAGTTTAGGTGTTGTGTTAAGACATAAAACCTTGAACTTTATATTTACTACTTTATTAACACTGGGAAAGTAGATTTATGACAGGAACTATGTACTTATTCCACCTAGAAATGTTTACATTTCAGATAGCCTTAGTTTTAGTATTCACATCTCCTTAGAATGAAAGTTTTCAAAGGAGAAATCTAAATACTTCTTTTACTTAAGGTGGTGGGAGAGCTCCCTGGCCAGTGTTTCATAAGTTTTGTCCTTAAAAGAGAGGCAAACTCATGTCAAAGTCTGAAATCTGTCTCAGAGATGTAGATTAAAAATTGTGGTGATTCATAGCTAGTTTTATTACTTAGCATTTTTACTGGTTTAGGCTTTTGCATTAAGTAGTATCTGCTTATTAGGTACGTATCACTGAAATTACTGTTTTTAATACAGCAGACTGCATTATCCTGGCCATCCCGCCCACCAATTACCCTTAGTAATGGACATAACTGGATAATGGGGACATTCTAGAACTTGTTGGAGCATGGTCAAGAGTTATACATAGTTTAACTCTGGGTAAAGCCACTCAAATGAATTTATTCTTATGTTTCCCAGTATTTCTAATTCCACTAGTTGTAACCTGTTTATGCATACTGCCCATCTGTGTAGATTACCATTTACCACCATTGTTCTGGTGCAGATTTTGCTCTCCCTTAATGTACTATATACAATGCCAGCTCAGGTCTTTGTACCATTGACAAAAGATAACCTGTTGATGGGCAGCTGAAAATTAATAGTACATATTAACATCGAAATGGATATGTTTTAACTAAAATGCAGGTCAAACTTTGCTAGTTGACTTGGAGTATTCTTCGCAGGTATGGGAAAAATTATGGATTGGGAAGAAATTAGAAGGGTTGGAAGAATAATTGTTAGAAGTAGCAAGGAGAAGAATGAAAGGGGAGGTGGAAGGACTGGAATGGAGGGGAGTTTTAACTCCAATCATTCTGCAAAATCTTCATTCGAAACTAGAAGGAAGTGGGTTCTTCCCTGGCAGTGTAGCTGTATATTTACATTTGCACCTCTCCCTGTGTGTGCTTTATGTCCTATCAGAAGGAAGTTAAACTTTTCACAACATTAAAATATAGTGGAGTCTGTCTTGATCAAAAGTTAACTGATCAGTTATCCCATTCTCTTTAACATTATACTTTTAATACAGTGGTATTCATTTCTGTCTGAAATGCTACATATGGTCATGGTTAATTGCTGCTGTTTTCAATCCTTGTCACAACATTGTCATTAGTAGGTGAAGTAGTTCTGCAGCCTTGTTTGGAAGACAAGCAATTGTAAGAAATAAAAGGAGTAGGGATAAGAGAAAGAATTTTATTGTTTATACTCTTACATTTTTGTTTCATTTACATTTTTAACTGGTTCCCACTTGCTTGAGCTGTTTGGAGCCCATCTGAATTATGTTTTTCAGAGTAATTTTATCTTGTTATTAAAAACAATCCTTTCATCTTTTTCACAGTTAATGAAGGAAGAAAATGCTATTCTGCAGTTTTTAATCACTTGCCCAATGTCTCTGCTTCATTCCTTGCATCAAGGAAGTTTCTGTCTATTGTGTAAAACCAGTGGAGTTAGGTGGCAGCTTTTCATTGGCATGCTTTTTCAGGAAAATTTAAATGTTGCTGAAAATGTTACTTCCATTAGGAAGATGAGGGTTCCCTAGCTGCCTATCTGGAGGTTCCTTGGCAACATGACATTTTGCTTGTAGAGAGAAGAGCTTTGTGTAAAGATAGCTGGCAGGCTGAAAGATCCACTTTTAATTATCCTAAATTTTTGTTTGCATATCTCTTCCTAAGATAGTCATATTCTTTTAGCTTTTGCATGAACCTGGAGAGTATGCCTCTGTGTGTATATGTATAAATTCATGGATGTTTTCTGTAGACGTGGATTTTTATTCTCTAGAAAGCTTCCCGTGCAAGTGGCTTTAACAACCATTCATTTCCCTTCCTGCTCTGAGGATATGTTTTAGAACTAACTACTTCAGGAAAGGACCTGTTGTTAAGTAGGTGTTCTGTGCTTCTGTTGTGTTCAGAACATGTAAAAGATGCCTCTAGGAGGACAAAAAAAGTAAAAGCAAAACTACCCCAAATAGTAGCTTGGATTGTTTCTCAGTGTAATTTAATTTTAATTCAGGGAACAGTGATTGAAATAATTAATTATATTATCTTCAAGATAATGTTTTTTATTCCTTCCTACTGATTTAATGAGTTTCAGGTTAATGAGAAGTAATGGCAATTACACAAGTCTCAAATTCTTGAACTGAAGTTCAGACTTTTTGAATAGCCAATCAAGTTCTCTAAGATTGGTAGACACAAGTTCTTGCTTGCTTTCCAGTTCAGATTTATGCTTCCAAAGACCTCTTTTATGCTTGATGTCCAGATTCTTTCTTTCTACATAAAGGGAAGATTACATTTTCCTACAATAATTAATATCTGACACAGGCTATCTGCACTTATTATCATCATGGAATCAAGAGAGCTAACAGCTGCATCTGGATAGTATACCAGGCTGGCCTCTTCACCGAAAGACAGTCACTTAGCAAGCTATTTAAGAACAGACAGAAAAAATATATATATGAAGCTTTCACACATGCACACTTAACAGTGACCTTTAGGTGGTAGTTCCAGACAGTAGTGGTAGTTAGAAGCCCATTCAGACTGGACTTCTGTGGTTCAGTGGCCTGCAAAGTTACTGAGAGTCTCAAATACAGTGGTAGTTTTAACATCTGGGCAACAGTCCTGACAGAGATTGATCTGAGATCCAGGAGCAAGTCTGAACACAAGGCTGCATATCAGGCTGTGAAAATGAGAGGCTTTCATTCTCTATGATCTGCATCTGAACTGGGCCATTGAACTGAGGAATGCTTCAAAGTCTGTTCCTTAACACTCATCTGCCTCTGTCTTCTGGTTTGCAATCGGAAAGGCCTCCATTACTCTGGTAGCCCATACTTGATTTTTTTTTTTTCTCCAGGCAAAGAATTATGATCTAGGGGAGAAGCAGAAGAGTGATAGCATGCTCTGCTTTTGCTCTGACCACTATCACATTGTTTGTCCAAGTGTGGTCCTAGAACAAGGCAGTGTCACTGAACACCGTGTCATCTTGCATGCAAAAATTGCAAATTCAAAGATCAGAATAATATTCCAGCTACAGTATAGATAATTTCATAATTCCTGTGCATTATCAGTTGGATGTGGATTCCTTCAGTTTCTTTCTGTCCAAGTTGTCAGTGACTGTATCTTCTGGCTGGATTTTTTCTGATTATTTTATAAAGTACTTCATAATGTAAATTAAGGGAAATTAAAGGAAGAGATGACCTAATTTATTAACATCATAATGACTATTCTATTATAGTTCATTGTTAAGCTTATCGCTTTGCATTCTCTCCTTCCTCTCTTTTATTCCAGTCCCCTCTGCTGTCCCTATGATGCATCAGGTGAGTCGTACTACTAATTGCATCACACTGTCATGGCCTCAGCCAGACCAGCCCAATGGCATCATCCTGGATTACCAGCTACGCTACTTTGACAAGGTAAGCAGAAAGTGATGCAGTGCTGATTGTTATATAGCTGTTACGCAAAAGAGAACAGGGAAATCTTCTGTCTGGGAGGTAACACCCCTGGATCAGGATTGATAAAGTGGGGAAAAATGCTTCAACTGTGAGAGAAGAACAATCTGTAGCAAAAACAGATGTTCATAATATACACTTCATCTGACATCAGTCTATCCCAACTTGGAACCATCTAGGGACAATGCAAATAAAAAAAAGAGAAGATGCTTGTAACTAAGCTGAAAAACCATGGCTAACAATCATAAGTTTAGCATCAGCTGACACAGATAACAGTGAAAAGAGCTGAAGTTTCCAAATGTGTATATTGGAATTGGACTCACTGCAACATTCTGTCATGTGTTTGTGGAGGAAAGTCCTGTGTCCCCATTTATGCCTGAAGAGATGCCTCTAAGAAATTCTGGGAGAAAGAATACACTCTTTCATTACTAAGTGACAGATATCAGTTACCTGCTGCTATGTGCTGGAATTACAAGTTGCCAAATACAAAGTTGTTCTACATTCACATCTTTCATTACTCCTAATCCAGCTGATTTGAGAGGAAGAGGTATGCAGGGCTGTTCAGACAAGCTCCCATTCTATATTCTTGATTTTTCACATAAATATGTTTTCAATATTGTCCAGAGGCACTGTTTTTCTAGCAGTAAAATGGCTGCTATTTGTAATAACATGTCTGGCAGCTTCCTGCTTGTAGTGTTGTATGTGTTCTTATTCTGGATTCTCCTAGGTGAATATATGAGTTTAGAGCTTGTAGAAAGCAAATTTTCCGGACAGTACAGGGCTTATTTATGGATATGATTAGCAAGGAACCACAGGACAGTGTAGTTTTGTCATTCACTCCTGTTTAGATCAGGACTGAGGGGTTTTGCCAGAACTTTATGGGAAGCCCAGGCCTAAGAGAATGAAAAGCAGCAGTGAGGAGCAACAAGCAGTATGTAAAAAAGTCAGGTCTGGAATAGCAGTTGTTCTTGGGACTCTCTGTAACAGATTCAAATAATATCGAGCCAACATGAAAACTAACATTCTTTGATGAGGAGAATAAGCAGTGTGGGCAGAGTCTCACATTCCTTTTGGTCACTGACGTTTGCAGGCAGAAGATGAGGATAATTCATTCACCTTGACTAGTGAAACCAACATGGCCACCATATCAAATCTGAGCCCAGGCAAGATCTATGCCTTCCAAGTACGAGCTAGAACAGCAGTGGGCAATGGCCCATACAGTGGAAAGATGTATTTCCAGACTTCAGTGGGAGGTAAGTGCTACTATTTTGTACTCAGATCTGCACATGACCATTTCATTTGTGTGTGTCCCTCAGTATATTAGTTTATCCTCTGGAGAACTGCTACCAAACACTCCTACTCAACTTGTATTTCTGTATATCATAATTTGCAGATACAGATTTGTTCACTCAAAGAAGCTTTATGCTGTCAGAGCATATTGTTTACACTACCACCATATTCCCCAGTCCTACTCCTTGTTGCCTCTGACCAGCAGGAGCAGTGTGTCAGCAGAACTCTCTTTAGGAGGGTGTTACAGTACATAGCACTATACACTGCTGTAGTTTGGTCTCCAGCTGTCCCAGGATGTCTTACAGCTGAATGCTCTGTGAAAGCCTTAAAGACAGGTGGGACACAGGACATATACTCAGAAGCTTGCCTTCCAGCAGTATCACAATCTATTCGTGCAGAGAGCAACATACTACCTTGTGATACAGTTTAGTTTGGATCAAAGGTACTCATGGATGTCATCTGCAAGCTAAATTAATGAGGGACAATGGGATCAAAGCCCAGGTGTAGAGCTAGCCTATACTTAAATGACTAGTCAGGTGGCCGAAGTTTCTTTTCCAACCTGAATGATTCTGTGATTCTGTGTCAGTGGACCAAGGGAAAGAAAAGTGGATTCAAAGGGAGCACTGGTTTTCAAAAGTAGGAAGGAAGGCACTGGAGAAGCACATTGATTGAAGGGGTAAAGGAATAACCAAGTCAAGCATTCATTGAATTGACAGCACTAGCCTGGGAAGCAAAGGACTGGTAGGGATGGAGTTATGGGTGAGACCTAGTTGAGTAGAAAGGAAACTCTAACAGTTCCTGTCCTCTGCATTTGTGTGTGTGTATGCATGTGTCTTCCTTGCTAGGGGAGCGCTCGGAGATGGTGCAGGACCGACTGCCGCTTATCGTGGGCTCAGCGCTCGGTGGTCTAGCCTTCTTGGTAATTGCTGCCATTGCCATCCTTGCCATCATCTTCAAGAGGTGAATTCTTTGACCTGCTCATGTGCACTGCAGGCAGTGGAAGTTTCTTACCCCCGCTACATAACACCATCCCAAGGGAAACAGCCTGATCTACATTCATCCAGATGTCCTTAATATGCCGTTTTCTAATTAAGGAAAGATCCTACCCCATTACTCCTATCTGAGGAGCCTCTGTTTTGGTAAACCACTCATGTACTTAGCTCATATTTGGCTAGTTAGCAATATGAACACAAGGGAAGAATTTTAAGGCTAGTATTCAAAAAGTATTTAAATACATCCCTGTGAAGAAGGGACTGTAAATTAGGCAAGCAAGTGGAGAATGAAACGATGTATTGAAGAAGGACCAGTGGAGTATTTATATCCACTTATTTAGAAGGTGCTAAATACTCTTTAACCAAGGACCAAGATCCAATAGCTCGTTTGCTGAAGAATAAAATCTGTACCACCCTAACAGTTCCATGGAACACTAACTCATAAAATACAAGTTAAAGAAAGCAAAATACCACTTTCCATTTTGGAAAGAAGAAAGGGCATATAAGTCAATGGAGAGATAATACGTTATGGCAAAAAAGGACAGAAATTTTAAAGACAGAGAAAAAGAAGTAGAGGTACAAAAGTAACAGCAGGGTTTTTTTTTATTTGAAGTAAAGAAACAGTCATTACTCACTCCTTGAATTTACTGAAGTTTGAACTTAATCCCCTAGATTGTGAGTAATGGATTTCTATATCTATGTTCCTCTCTGCCTCTGCACAAGAGGGACTTCTTTGCTTTTTCTGCTGACCTAGAAAAATGTATGAACTACTTAACTTTAGAAGGTGACATCTAGTTGTAGTTAATTCTTTTTTGTTCTTTTCCCTTTTCTATATTTGTTTTCTCCTTCTGTGTATATTCTCTTTTAATATTTTTTTTTTCTGGAAAGAAAAGAATTATCAAGTACTGTTATGTTTGCATTATTGCCTCCTTTTGCAGCTTTGAACTGTAAAAAATATAATTTCTTGTTACAGTTGGAAATGTGATATTATGTGCATAACTCAATAAAGCATATAGTTTTTGAAAAAAAATAAACCTAACCCAGAATAAATTCATCTTACCAAAACTGTTTTGGGGAAAGACATCAATAGGTTTCTGTAAATGTATCTACATAAAAGGAAATATCGTTAAAAAGATTCATTTATACTTGAAGGATCATGTGCAATTAATAGACAGTTTTTCAGAAAAAGTGGAGATACCAAATTTCTGTTTTAAATTTGGGTTTGATAAGAAAAGTAAGTTTGAAGATGTAGGGTATGAGGAACACCACATGAAATGAGTAGTTCTTTAAAAGGTTGAATCAGATTCTATAATTATAACTTGGTTTTGCTGATAGACATTTTCCAGGCAATATACAGTGTGAAACACCTATTTTAGCTAATTTGGGTTTTTTTCATGATGGAAGAGCATTAGTATGTCAGATAACCTATTAAAAAAAAAAAACAAAAAAACCCATGAATGTAGACCTGACTTTCATATGCAAGAGCAGAGTTAGAGCTCTTAGGTATAGGCCTCCAGTAAAGCCACTTTCTTTCCACCACAGAACAGATTTTGAAGATAGAACTGTCTGTGGTTTTGCAATCTTAGCAGAATTTAAAGAAGTAAGCCTTACAAGTAATACACAAAGTTACCTGTTAGAATGACAGAATTAGTTATGTTAGTAAAGTAACATAGTGATTCATGATACTCTGTCTTCAGATGCTAACTGAATCAGCTGCTAGAAGGTCTTGTGCTGAAACAGCAAAGCATGAGTTGACACAAATCCATGCACATAGCAGGGATACTACAGGATACCACAGAGTTTGATTTGCAATCTAGTCTAATTAATATGATTTAGAAAAGAATGAATTGTACATTTCTGGGGAAAAAAAAATAACACTGTTGTTAACAAATGAAGTAACTTGAAAATGGAAAAATGTTTAGAGCAAACCAAAAATAGTATGAAACTTCTAAAAATAAAGGTCATGTGGGAAAAAAAAATGCTTGAATCACACATGTTTAAGAGGAGAATGAATTCTGAGAAATGCCTATGCTGAGAAGGACCTGTTTACTGGAAATTAGATGCATTTATGTAATAAATATTACAGTAATAAAGTCCATACCTGTTTTGGTCTGCACATTCAAAAATCACATCGTGGAACAGATTTCTGTCCTTCTGAGTCTGTGTGATTGGTTTTGGGTACCGTACTTATGAAATGAATAGTCAAAGTAAATGCTGTTAAGAGACCAGGAGGGAAAGTAAAGATGATTTAATCTTTGGTGGAAATTTATACAAATTAAGCATTAGAGTAAATGGCTTTTAGAATGTTTTTGAAGAACTTAAAAGGCCTCACAGGAGATGGCTTAGATTAGAAATTAAAAGAATAATTTGTCATAATTAAATGAAATTAAAATGCAAATTTATCCTCAATAGCAAGAAAACGTCCAAGGCGGTAATGTTAAACTATTACTTTTTTTTTTCAGGATAAGGCTGGAGGCTCTATCATTTATTGTATCTAAAGTGGGGATTCAAACAGTGGTGTGAAAACTACCACCTAAAAAACAAGCTTGCACTGGTTGCCAAGAGATCGACAGGATCTTAATGCCCATCTTCTGTGCCTAAATTCAAGGATTCTCTGAGTCTTGCATTGAAAAAGCGTACCCCAACATCCTATGAGAGACTCGTGTGTGTTTTAACTTTTCTTTCCTTTATATCCTGCAGTAAAAGGCGAGAGACTCCATATACAGACCGCCTGCAGCAGTATATCAGTTCACGAGGTAAGAGTTCTTAAGCAACAGATGGCAAGGGCCTGTCACTTTTCAGGACTCATTAACACAGGTGTGTTAATGAATTTGATTCTGGTGATGTTTTGGGCTGTCTCCTCCACTGCAGGACTTGGAGTGAAGTATTACATTGATCCTTCAACCTATGAAGATCCCAATGAAGCTATTCGAGAATTTGCCAAGGAGATTGATGTGTCTTTCATCAAGATTGAGGAGGTCATTGGATCAAGTAGTATGAGAATCTGCAGTTTTTGAAGTGCCTTCTTGTTCATGTTGAAACCTGTCACACTACTGGCCTGAAGTGGACCCAGCCATGGTATACCAAGTGTCTCAGGATAGCTAACCTTAATTTTTACCAAAATTCATCTTAACCTGCCTACCCTTAGATGCTGGCTCCGAACCAACTGTAAAACACCCTTTGAAGACTCAGAGCTCCGTATTTGAGCCCTGAAGATGTAGTTTCCAGCTTTCACCAACTTACCTTAATCCAAACATTAACCCTATTTCCAAGCAGTGCCTGAAGTCTTCCACAGTAGTATGTCTTAGTGCACCTGACTAAAATTCTTTGCTGCGTTTCCTTACTTGAGATGTGTTTCTTCCCTCCCTGACAGGAGAGTTTGGCGAGGTGTGCTTTGGGCGCCTAAAACATCCAGGGAAGCATGAATACATAGTAGCAATTAAGACCCTGAAGTCAGGTTACACAGATGAACAGTGGCAGGAGTTCCTGAGTGAGGCCAGCATCATGGGGCAATTTGAGCATCCCAATGTCATCCATCTGGAGGGTGTGGTCACCAAGAGCCGACCAGTCATGATTGTCACAGAGTTCATGGAGAATGGATCACTGGATTCCTTCCTCAGGGTACCACAACCAGAGTCTCCCACAACCATCTTGCTGTGTGCCAGTCTCAGATCTGATAATTTTGCCTGTCCTTCCTCTTCACTCCTGTCTCTATAAGTCCTCAGTTGCCCTCTTCAGGTGCAATTGAAATAATAGCAAATTACCAGAGTAAGTGGATTTGGGCCAACATGGTGAAAATATTCCAAAAGCTCACCCATCATATAAAATGTCTTAATTATTTTAGACTTCTCCAGCTTAAATAATTAATGGTAAACAGTCCTAAATTATTTGTTTATCTTTGTACACAGCCTTCCAGTTACTTATGTGCATGCTCCAAAGTTTGCCTTTCTAATAATGTTTTTCGGACTTCATTCCACTGAATGTTTTCAAGTTTCAACATTGTAATGAAGTAATGAAACTTGTAGTTATTTTAGGACTCAGAGTTTCCAGTGTTTTTTCTAGTGATGAAACTTAAATACAGGTATTTTTGTATGCAGACGCTTGTGGTTTGTTTTTTTTTTTTTTACTGATTCATATGCTAATTCAACCACAAATGCTTTGGCAGGTACATTCTGAGTACCACATGAACCCATTGTGTAGAATTGCATAGAACCCATTGTAAAGATATTAAAACAGTAAGAGCAGGTTTGATTGCTCCCATTCATTTAGCCATTTTAATAGTTAATGTGACTAGGCATGGGATGCTAAAGGAGGATATGGCCACAGGATGAGATTTGTCTTCAGAAAAAGATCACTAGTGTCTGACTTGATTTGAGATTGCTTTAAGCCCACCCTTCTTTCTTATTTGCTATCCCTGAACCTTCAGATTTTGGCTGAAGTTAAGAAGTATATTCTCTAACTTCATAATCCACCTTGTTACCTTGCTCTTTGTTAGTCTTCTCTGTTGGCTTCATGTTTTGTGGTTATAAAAACCTGTTTGCCTCCTCACTTGCAGCAGAAGGAGGGACAGTTCAGTGTGTTACAGCTGGTGGGAATGCTACTGGGGATTGCAGCTGGCATGCACTACCTTTCAGACATGAACTATGTGCATCGTGACCTGGCAGCACGTAACATCTTAGTCAACAGTAACCTTGTGTGCAAGGTGTCAGACTTCGGTTTGTCCCGCTTTCTGGAGGATGATGCTTCAAATCCCACCTATACTGGAGCTCTGGTGAGTTACTGCTATGGAGTGAGTTACTGCAGTGCTTCCAATTATAATCTTTCCCTGTGTTCCTTCTTTATTTGGTGTACCCTTTTTATTCCATTTTGAGACTAGGGAGAGCAGTGGGGTAGAGCCTTCTGTCTTGTGGACATCTGTTCCAAACCAGTAAAAAACAAAAATAACTGAGTATCTGATCCACTCAGCTCTGTGATATGGAGTCTCAGTGATGTTCTTTGTAGAATGATGGTGAATAGGACAAACCTCATAACCTGAAGTAGGTGTTATCTTTCCCCTTTCATTAGCTTCTTACAGGAAGTATATGGACTGAAGGACTGTACTACCACCCTTTTAGGAAAGATTTATTTTTTTCCTACAGAAAATATAACTGGAATAAGTATATTTATGGGTTTTCAACCAAGCATTGAATGAACTTATTGCCTGTATGAAATTCTGACACCTGTTGTACATACTATAGAAGTGGTGGGAGAACAAGAATTCAGTCACTGAAAAATGAAACAGGTTTTAGATTAGTGTGTTTTGAAGAACCAGCACCAGAATGATATTTTGTCTGGCAGGCCAAGCCTGCAGTCAAAGAGTTCAAGATCCAAAGAGGAAGGAGTTAATACTAGTTACTCAGTATATTTGCCCTTGGTGTTGCAGGTTGGAATTGTTTAAATGTCTTTACATTTTCAAATTATTGTGACTTTCAGGAGGATTTTACTATCTGCCACCTCTCAAATGCTGCAGAGAAGAGCTATAAAAGTTAAAATACATAATGGGATTTGCAGCAACAAGGAGGCATGGTTCTGTTTCTTCATCTATATTTGTCAGTAGAACAAGGTGGAAACCTTGAAGATGGTTTGCATTTAAACCAACAATGTCTACAAGACAGCATCAATTGAACTGGCACTCCATGCTCAGAGTTGTGTCATGCTACTGGCAACTGTTCAGTGATGTCATTTTCACAAACAGTCCTTATCTGTTAACATTCTTGTTGTTCTCTGTCTGCTTTCTAGGGCTGCAAAATCCCCATCCGTTGGACTGCCCCTGAAGCTGTCCAGTATCGCAAGTTCACATCCTCCAGTGATGTCTGGAGCTATGGCATTGTCATGTGGGAGGTCATGTCCTATGGTGAGAGGCCTTACTGGGACATGTCTAATCAGGATGTAAGTTTTAGAAGTGGTTAGAATGTACATCTGCCTCTGTCCTGTATCAGTTCAAGTGGAAGAAAGTCATACATCACGAACTGATTGAAGCTTGTTTGTCTTTTATTTTCCCAGCTGGAATAAAGCTTTGTTCTTCTTTTCCTGCAGGTAATTAATGTCATTGACCAGGACTATCGCCTGCCACCACCCCCGGACTGCCCAACTGTTTTGCACTTGCTGATGCTGGACTGTTGGCAGAAGGAGCAGGTCCAGAGACCCAAATTTGAGCAAATAGTCAGTGCCCTAGATAAAATGATCCGCAAGCCATCTGCCCTCAAAGCCACTGGCACTGGAAACAGCAGGTGAGATGAGAATTTAGTGCAAAATAATAGGGTTTGTCTCTTAGTAAGCGTCATGAGGAAAAGAAATCAGTAAATCAGACTATATAATATTTTTTTCAACCCTCTCATCGGAGACTGGGAATAAATAGGAAGGAAAAAAATGAGGGAGAGCATTGGAAAAACTGTATATCCTGATTCACTTAATGGGTGACGAGGTGTTGTGACTGCTGAATGTGAGGATGAATGAGTGAGGGATATTAAAGAATGAAGTGAGGAACACACCTGAGTGCAGCTACACAACATACTTTGTGATTGCACAATACTGTGTGAACACAAGAGGTGATGAGGAGACCTTAGCTTATGGAGGGAAGGAAATCCATAGCTAAGACTAATTAGCACTGCAAGGCATCCCGTATTTTCCCAACTGCATTTTGCAGCCTGATGGAACCAGAGGTCAGCAAAGGAAAGGTCTCTAGGGGCGTAAGTGGCACCAAGATTAGATGGCTCTTGGGCTTATGACTGAATTACATCCTGCTGTCCTGAAGGGTTTTCACTGTGGTTATAAACCTTGTCTCAGTGAAATATACTTAACAGCTGGGGGAGGGGAAAGTGCCTGGTCATGCCCAGTTTACTAAAAACAACACATGAAGAGAGTTACAGATTTGAGAGATTCAGATGACAGGGAAAATAGCAAATGCCATGTATAAACAGTAATTTATTTGGCCTGTGCTCTTATCTGATGGGTGTTGGAGCTGAAACAACACACTCTTCAACTCATAGGTTACTTTGTCATCCAAGGAGTGCATCTAGGAGAGGGAGAGCTAGTTACAAAGGTAAAAAGGTATAAGGTCTCATCTCTGCCTCAAAAACTTCCTCACTGCAACTCTTTGCCCAGCTAATCTAGATCTAGACCCAGAAACTGTGGAAAGATCTGAGGCAACAGGAAGAGAATGTGCCTTAAAGAGAACAAAATGGGAAGGAAGGATCAATTTCTTGGGTTGGGGTGGTTGTTTTCAGGCATAAAAGGGAACACAGGTAATCTAGAAACAGGGCATCAAGGTGGCACTTTAATAATCAGGGCATGAAGAACAGATATCATTGTTCTCCATTCTGTGCTCTTCAGAGGTTGCATTCTTTCCCTCATAAGGTAGTAGTGTGGTCAGCTGATGTTGATAACTTAGGTTTTTAGAACCTGCCTCTTTTGCAGACCATCTCAGCCTCTCCTGAGGAACTGTCCTCCAGATTTCCCTTCACTCAGCAACGCCCATGAGTGGTTGGATGCCATCAAGATGAGTCGTTACAAGGAGAATTTTGACCAGGCTGGTCTGATTACATTTGATGTGATATCACGCATGACTCTGGAGTAAGTAGAAGGGCAGAGATCAGAAGATACCAGACAATGAGTTTTCCATGCAGAAAGTGAAGGCAGTCTGGAAAGTATTTAGTAAGGACTCTATGGAGAATACCTACACATGGAAAAGGAGAGGGAAGCCAGAGCAAAGTAACTACTGTTTCTTATCTGAGGGCCTCTGGACACCCTCAATACCACTATAGATTTGTAGTCTGTTTCTATAAGCACTAATATTGATCCTGTGTACAATATAAAACATTGTCAGTGTTGCAGAGTGTTACATCAGAATGTTCATGACAGCTGCCATATGTAATAAACACTTTTAAGGAGATGTGTAGAATCACCATAACATATACTGGATTGTAGTGTTATAAGACAGGAGTCAGAAAAGGAACATTCTTAGAATCATAGAATGGTTTGGATTGGAAGGGACCTTTTAAGACTATCTAGTTCAACCCCCCCTTCCATGAGCAGGGACATCTTTCAGTAAATCAGGTTGCTCAAAGCCCTGTCTGACCTGACTTTGAATGCTTCCAGGGATGGGGCATCCACAACTTCTCCTGGCAACCTGTTCCTGCATCTCACCACCCTTCCTTATGTCCAGTCTAAACCTCTTTTAGTTTAGTCCCTTGTCCTGTCACTACGGGCCCTGGTAAAAAGTCACTCTCCATCTTTCTTGTAAGACCCTTTTTATATTGAAAAGGCTGCAAGTAGATCTTTTCCAGAGCCTTCTCTTCTCCAGGCTGAACAACAACATGCCTTTCTTCACAGGAGAGGTGTTCCAGCCCACTCATCATTTTCATGGCCCACTTCCACTGCTTCTTTTTGTGTTATAACCTACTAAGTTCTGATGACACTCCTTTCAGCCATGCACATTTACCAAGCAAAAGTATATGGTTTGTCAACTGTTTCTCAAAGATACACATGCACATATATCCATACACATCATTTTGGATCTACAGGGAAATGGACTGGGACTGCTCAGAATAGGTCCATTTTAATACCTTCCACATCCTCTATTCTCTTACAGAGATATCCAGCGTATTGGCATCACCCTCACTGGTCACCAGAAAAAGATACTAAACAGCACCCAGCTCATGCAAGTCCATTTGAATCAGCTTGAACCAGTTGAAGTGTGATGTTTACACCATCCTTATTCCACTAGTCTCAAACTCTGGAAAAGTTCGGGGAGAATTTGAGGGAATTTTCACTGTAAGAAAAAGAGGTGTCAGTACGCTACCTGAAGATTTAATGCACCCAAAGAATGCACGCAACATGTCCTGTTCCGTGAACAAAAAATGAAGTCTTGCCATGATTTGAAAGCAGAGCTGAATAACTGGTGGCTTGTAAATGTGGATGACATCATACATTGGGAATGGGTTGGGGAAGGGAAAGTTACTATAACATCGGGAGGAGATGGAATAATAGCTTGGACAGATCACAAGCACCTGTTACTTCTTCTCTGCCAATGAAAAGTATCAGACGACTTTACAAAGCTATCAGCAGGCTTTATCTGTGGCTGGGAGCCCAGCAAAGCTGCAAAGACGTAATGAAGGCAACAAAAAATAACCATTTTTTTCCAAAGGTGTGAGAGATTATTACTCAGATTGAGATGAGTCTCAGGCTGTCACATCAGGCATCAAGCTACCAGCTTGGTCTGGAACTCAAGTTCCACTTAGTGCACAATATGTGGCAAGCAATAAGACATGTCACCTGGTAAAGAGGCTGAGAGTAAAGGGCTCAAAATTCTGTGCTATTTCATGTGCAGTTCTTGGGTCTGCTCCATGATCTAGGAGGGAAACTTACTAACGCTTTGTGCTGATTCAAGGAAGAGCAAGTTCTTGGTGCTACACAACTCTATGGGACTGCAGCAGAATGGAACAATAAGGATTCCTAGAATCCATCATGCTGGATCTGCAAGTGGAGAGAGAAACAAGGCATCAGTTGTGATATTCTGAAATCCTGAGCACCCAGAATTTGGGTTTTTGTCTCTTCTGGCCCCCTTACAGGTATTGAAGAATGTGAAAAAAATCTGAAGCCCTCTGCTGCTGAAAAATACTTGTTCTTTTCTCACCCTAACCAGCTACATCAGTGGGCACAGTTCATTAAATAAATGCAGACATGCAGTAGTCAACTCCAAATAGTCAATTGGAATGTAGAAGATAAAAATAATTCAAAAAGTTCATGTCAACTTTTTCAAAAAGTTCATGTCATGTCAGTGATCAGGGAAGTGTATCAGTCCTATGAGTCAATTCAGTCCTTAAAAGACAAATAACAATGGCCTTGGGCTCAACTGTGTTGTCAAGTAGAGGTGCATGAGAATGACCAGAATTACAAAGTTTATGTCTCCTTTGAGACAGACAAGTATCTGCTTAAAGAAAGATCTGCTTTGAGGAGGAGCAGAGCTTCAGAACTGTGTCTATCTTTATGCAAGATTATGAAAACTTGAAGCTGAGTTCAAGAGGAAAACTCATAAACTATATGCTTGTCCACCTCACCAACATATAGGAAGGAAAATTGAAATGGCCTTGTTAAGCAAGACCCCAATGAGGACATTACATAAAAAGACACCTTCTCTGGGTCTAGAGAGGAAATAACCATAGCTGTTCCGATCTGTGCCCATCTGCTGGCTCACTGTGAACTAGTCATGAACTTACTGTATTTCTTCAGCTGTCAAGGTTAGAATATCACAACTTCTACAGATACTACTCCTGTATGTATTTAAGGATTCCCCCAGTCAACCCAGCAACTGAAGACTGAGAAGCCATATTTAATAGTTATTGAAGAGTCCCATAATATCCTAGGAGGTGCTCCAGAACAGTTGCACTAGAACAGCCAACGGAGTTCAGACTCTGTATAACACCATTAGAGCAACATTATTGGGTTTTTTTAGTTGAGGGAGAATAGCAGCACATTCTTTCAAGATATAAAGTCAATACAAAATGCAAGAAAACAAGAATAAAACATTCACGGCAGTACAAAGAGGGTGTGAGGATTAAACAAAAAGCCTCATCAGACTAGAGTGAGTCCAACCCTAGAAAATTTGAGTCTGTTGCTTTTTAAGAGGGTTCTATAAACTTACAATTCTCATAAATGCAGTTACATGTATGCTGACTGACTGTCATCTCCACCTACAGTATCTCAGACTGAACAAATACTGGCCTCTTCAGAAAGCGTATTGAGCACAAGATGTTGAGGGGAATCTGTGTGAACTCTAGCACATTCCATATGTATTCACCAAAGGACAACAGTGCATGTATGTGCACTTGTATATGAGTGTGTTCTCAAAGTTCTGTGGGCCATTTGGGGAAACACAGCAGGTTATGTTTTCCATGCCTTGGGTGGTCAAGATTAGTGGAGAAATTTGTGATCTAGTTCAAATCCTACGGCCTCTTTTCAGCCTCATGGAAACTTATATGCAGAAAATATGTTTTCTCTCTCTCCGTGCAATGGGAGACAAAATGGGAGCCTTGTCTGAATCCCATACCAATGACAATGAGCTTTAATAGCTCCTTAGTGAAATGAACTGCTTGGTCATAGTTCAAGCAGTAGGACATTTACCTTTGCATATGAAGTCTATGACAAAGTTGTTGATCGCTGTACCAAGGCAGGCAAGTAGTGATTGGACATCATAGATCTCTTCTTCCTCCTGTTCTAAGTCAAGGTTGAAATGTCCCTATGGTAGTTCCAAGGGGTCAGGAGTCAAGATGTAGAACTGCACGGGAGCAGGCTTGGGGTCACAGACAGAGTGCAAAAGGATAATAGTTTTCTGTTAGAAGTCTTTCCATTCTCTTTATTTCCAGGATGTTCCCTATTTTCAGAGTACTTAAACTCTTCCATAATTTGGGATGCAAAGACTCGTGTCACAATGTATCTTGTGTTAATTGTGATCATGTCCGTCCTCAAATCCTCAAGCGTGAATGAAAGGCAGTCATGGCTAAAGCATTAGAAACATCCTGATCCCACTTTTCTCAATCATGTGAAAGCAGAAATCCTACATTCTGTTTCCACAGACATCATCTAGGATGTCCTGCAGTGTATAAGCGCCCTCAACAGCTAGGGATGAGAATCAGGAGGTAAAGGAGTGGGACTCACCTAGGCACCTGATATCTGTCCTTCACCAGAAGAATGAAAAACACTGTAAAAAATCTCACAGAGCCATATTCTTTGCCAGAGAAGCAGTGGGAGTTACGGCCCACATTTACTCCGTATGTTATCTATAGTTTGCAGTGCAAAAATAGACTGAGTAAATTAAATGCATGGGTATCAGTGCATAGACCTTCATGATGGCATTAAGCATTTGTATGAAAATTCAGAAGAGTTCTACCTACAGTTGTAAAGAATATATTGCAAAGAATAATAGCTCTTCTGCTTAAACACCAACTTTCCACTATCTGGAGACAGTAAGAAACTTCATCTTAAGACAAGCTGTTTTGTCACTGCCTTTCTGGTGTGTGTTGCTGGACAGTCTCCCTGACAGACAATTGGGTCTGCACCAGTATGTCAGTTAATGTATTGCGCTGCCAAAGACCGCGTCAGGCAGGCAAGTTCTAACGTATGCTGCTTCAACAGTGAAGAGGAATTCTCAGCCAGGAGCTACATGTCTGTGCACCCCTTGCCTCACTACGCCATGGCATGTTTATGTCAAAAGCAGGCCCTGCTCACCCAGAGTATTCAAAGACAGGCAATTAAGCTAAGATTTTTGCATCCGTGCCTGAAAGAATGTTGAGGAAAGCCTCCCTGACAGTATGATTTATGCAGTAATTTCTGTTTGGCACCAAAGTATCCTCAGTGCATGTGCAGATTATATGGCTTGCAGTTCCTGCTTTTTGTTTTGTTTGTTTTTTAAGATTCAAGGATGTAATCTTAGTGCATACTTTGACAACACTATATTAGGGCTAGCTGAGGGAGAACAAGCTGCTTAATGCTACAGAGGGAGAGCTTAAAGAGGCTGTTTAGTACAAATGTATTCAGCATGGGACTATCTAGAAATAAAGAAGCTGCTGTAGGTTCCTTAGCCCCGGCAATCCACATGTTATTAAGCTGAATGAAACCTCTGGGTGTTGTAGGAAATTATGAGCAACACCAGGGAACTTACTTTTAATAAGCAAACAAAGGTAGAGCTGTCCCTACCCCTGGACCTTCTTTGGTCAGGGATTCCAGCCAGCAAATCTACCTGGGTGCTAGTCTAAGTGAAAGTAACCAGTTTGAATCCATCCTGCCTTTGGCACACTTTCTCAGCAGTCAGCTATACAGCTCTTACAGGTGCAGCTAAGCAATAGATTCGGGTTCAGGACAAACCTGATTCTTTTCCCTGAAACCAGCTGATGGGCAATGCAGTGAGTTGTTCATATGTATTCCATGCTAGCAACTATTCATGAATATCAAGCATCCTAAGAATTGTAGGTCACATCTAAATTTGCATCTGTGGATGTCATTAAAAGACAGCATGGAAGGGCAAACCTCATGTCCTACTAAAAAGCTAGACTAGTGCTTCGTTTTATAAATCTATCTGGAAAAAAGGCACCTCTCAGAATTTACATTTTGTGTGGCATTCAAGTTCATCATGCTCTGTGTATGGAGGTGTTCCACTTCTGTGTTACTGAAAGGGCTGCACGAACTAATGAGAAATCACCGTCTTCGATAGCTTGCCGTTTTGTAATGGACGTGTTCAAAGAGTAATTACTCCCCCTGGTGTTCTGCTACCTAAACCACACAAGAGAAGGCTTAACTGCCCTCAAAATTCCTTGTACCTTACGTATTTTATCTTCCTTTTCTGGGGTGTTGAAAAAACTCTTTTCCTGAAATAGTCTCAGTTGAAACTTGCAGATTCATGAAAACGTAACAAGATTACCTTCTGGTTTCTTCCATGACCTTTGTTCCTTGAATTAACAGAGTAATGTGGTCTTTTAGTCAAATGCTGTAAGAGCAAGTTACGAGTACAGTGGTTTGATATCTTGGAAACTATGCCTCAGCTAATTGATAGAGTTTGGTCTGTTATTTATGTCTCTTATACAAACCCAAGTGTGCGCAGCTAACAGCAATAATACTGTTTGCTTCTGGAAACTAATCCCTTAAATTCAGGCCATACTAAGTAAAGTTGGATTTTTTCTAGTTTACAGCAGTACTAGAAATTATACACGCTGCTACCTAGAACTAGAATTTTATTCATATCTGTGCAACTCGCTCTCTCATTGTATTTTGGTAACTTATACAAACCTACTACTGTCCATGAATTTGTACAGGTGTAGAGCTTGATCATTTATAAACAATTCTGTTGCTGAGAACAGACTGTAGTCCTCTTTGAACTGTATTGACTCTGCGAGTAAACAGGAGATTAAAAATAAGAAAATCAATTTTATTCAGGGAAGTCAGCTAGTTTAGCAGATATGAATGAGAAGGCAGTATCTGAAATAAGCTATTTAAAAATAGATCTATTAATGTTGCTCTGTTAAAAAGGACAGTAATTAGAATATACCCTAATTTCTCTACTATAAGTTGCAAAACTGTTGTTATTTTAACCTGTCATCTCTGCAGACTCACAACAAGAACAAACTAACAACAATAATGATAATAATGATCGTGATAAACAAATGTGGCTTTCCCCAAAGAAGTAAAAATAGCAGTAGTCCAAGTGCCTGTAATTTATATGGAGACACAATGTATTTTTTTGACAGATTAAATATTATTGCAAACTGAAAGATCAGTCTATCAAACCTACCAGTTAAGACACTAAATGTCATCTTAGGGGCATACTTACCATCATGTGAACAGCTGTTTAACTACAGGACTTAGTAAAGATGTGATATTTATTGTTAGGACTGCTAGACTGGTTTTATTCAAATTTAGGATGCTGTTTTGGATCTCTCTGGGAAATAGTACCACTTCTTAGGTTGAGTAGCTTCACGCAAACACATACCATAAAACTAATGAACCGTTCTTGAGACTTCTTTTATCCAGCCACAGTTAAGAGTGCAGCACTATTGGTAAGCTGAACTGTAAGTTCAGCTTTCAGTACCACAGACCTAGGTATGGTCCCTTTCCTTATGGCTGTAAGATGATGTCTTCCCTTCAGAAAGGAATTTGCTATGCTGTTTGTGTGAGAGCAATAATATCTGTCCTTAAGCTTTGATTGACAAGCTTCCATGCCACCTGGGTATCATCCCAAGACACTTAGGTAGGACAGAAGAATTGTGTAAAGGAGTGTAAGTCAGAAGTAGTAGTGAATGGAAAAGAACTCAAGATAAAGCATGAAGAGTCATTTTCTAGAAGCAACAGTTTATGGGAATGTGACTATGCTGGAACATTTACTTAGGACCCCTATAAGATGCATTCCTCAATTCATGATGTGAGTATATTCCTCACTTTGTGATGAAATGTAGATAAAAACTATCTATATGAGATATGAGAGTGGGACCTAATTTAATGTAACAAGGTTTTTAAAGCTCCAATTCTGCCTTTTTCCTGGTTCTTGTCTAGCCTCAGATTTGAGAACTCCACATCAGATGCCAACAATCCCATCCTCCATTGTGTCATTTGTTTCACTGGGTCTGAATTCTTAGAATAGATAAGTCCTTCCTGATATGTTTACACATGTGAATTTACTGTGTTTAGTTGTCTACTCTATAATAGAGTTTACCTGTGATAGCATCTGTCCCCTAGACCATATTTTGGGCCACAGATTCCAGACTGAGGTCAGAGGTATCATGGAAGCTTCCTCTCCATCATGATAGATAGAAAAATAAATAAATATTTGCAGGCACTGAGGGATGCAGAAAACAGAGGAAATGGAGTATTTCCATAGCTGCTCTGAGACAAGTGTAGCAAAGATAAAATCCACACTTCTAATCACCTTTGAATTCATGAAACATTTTCACGTACTTCTTATCTAGCCCTACCTTTGCTCGGAAGAATTCAGTTCTTCCCTCCATAAGGAAATCTACTCCTTTCAACTGAACATTACTCCCTTGTCAATGGGATCCCAATTCTCCCTCTTCCAGGCCTGGCAAACAGTCTGTCCCTTCCAACATATTCTTCATAATTCACAACAGGGAGTTACATAACTGAACAACTTTCTCACCTGAGCTCTCCAGAGCTCATCCTGCTCACGAGCCACTCTCCAGCAGGTGGCACCCATCATGGCAATGAGCAAGTCAAGCATAAGGAGCCACAATAGCAAAGGCTGAATAAGTGATGCCATACATGAAGGGTGGGTCCACATCATAGTTGGCAGGTCCATCAGTGCTGGTGAGGAAGAGCTCAAAGGTGCTAAAAGTGCAATGAGCTAGTTGTGGAAGTGGTCCAACTGACTTGCGAAAAATCACTCTATAACTGTGGAGTTATAAAGTAGGTATGTTTATTCAGTGCTGGGCTCATGGGGGATCGCTTCACCACAAGCATGTGTGCCGTTTGCAGCTCCTGTCCGGCTTATATGTTACAAAGTAGTGCATATTGATAGAATGCCTATACATATACATAGCCTATCCCCGCCTCCCCTCGCTTGTCATGGTAATCGGGTCTCCTCCCCTTGCGCCTGTTCGATGAGCTTTTCAAGTTCTGGGCAGGGGTCACAGATTCCTGGGCAGGGGTCATATAGACCTCTTCTTCCTTGCTGATGAACTTTTCACCCTGTCACTCTGCGCAGCCTCAGTTGTTCTCTGGCTTCTGACCAGATTGCCAGGCTAGTTTGTGCTGGAATTTGGGTTAATTTGTTGCTGACACCCACAACTTCAAGGACTAGAGGAAGCTTCTCTTTGAGCTAGGAGATAGTAGCCTAGAAACGTTATCAGCACCTGGTATGTCTGTGAACAGCCCCATATGCCTCCTTTTGTCTTTGCGCAAGTTCTCCAGTCTTGCACCATCAATCTAAGATTGTTTAGACTCCCCATCTCATTCCCCCCTTTTCTTCCTACTTAGTAAATTTTTTTACTACTTATTTATCTACTTTGTAATCTATTTCCCTGGCCCCATAATATGTTAGTACTATCTTACAAATCAGTTAGTTCATTGCTTAAAGCTCGGATTGTGATATAAAGCGTCATACATAGTTTGCAAGCGTTTTGTAAGTTTCCAGATCCATACATATACAACTACAGTAAGGATTAACAAAATTGCTACAGATATTAATAAAACAACCACTGGGTGAAGGGCTGTGTTTAAGATTCTAGTAGTTGTAGGCAACTATCTGAGGAGGGTATCCTGCCAATTATGTTTCTCTTCCTTCTCAACCACCTTTAAGACATTTTTTTATCCTTTCCCCATGAGGAAAGGTTATGAGTAAAGTTTCTTGACCTTTCTTTTTGACTTCTTACAGTATCCGGTGTAAGTTTGGGTGTTTTTATATGACTTACATTTAACCCTATGGGGACAGAAATTACCGCTACTATAAGTCTGCTCTTTTAAGAAGGAATGTGTGTGAAATCACACCCTAGGATG